TTCAGTCGCTCATGAATAGAGTGTTTAAACCAATCTCTAAAAGTTCATACTTGTTTTCTTTGATGACATACTGGTGTAAGCAGATCAATAGGGGAGCATGTGAGAGTTGTCTTGGAAGTATTATGGTAGCATCATCTTCGGACTAATCTGAAAAAGTGTTGCTTTGCACAGGTCAATGTGGAGTACTTGGGGCACATGGTCTCTTTAGGAGAAGATGGATGCAGATAAGGTGATGATTGAGGCAATGCAGAAATGGCCTCTATCTAGGAATCTAAGAGAGCTGAGAGGCTTCCTAGGTTGGACAGGGTGCTACATGCGATTTGTAAGAGGATACAACACCCTAGCATGGCCATTAATAAAGCAAAGAAGGATAGCTTATTATGGAGAGAGCGGTAGCTAAGCATATCATTAAGAGACTGAAAAAACGATGACCACAGTACCAGTTTTGACCCTACCGAATCTCAGTCAGGTTTCTATGGCAAAGACGAATGCATCAGGATATGGGTTGGGGTCGTGCTTATGCAGAATCACAAACACATAGCCTACTTCAGTCAGGTGTTGACAGCCAGAGAAAGATTGATGTCAATCTAATGAGAGGAAATTTATGGTCATTATATTAGCCATTCAGAAGTGGCGACCATATTTGTTAGGTTGGCATTTCATTTTTAGGACGGACCAGAGGAGCTTGAAGTTCCTTTCATAACAAAGAATGGTGATGGAGGATGTCAAAGATATTAGACTATGATTTCGAGAATAATTATAAGACAAGATTGAAGAATAAGGTGGCAAATGCCTTGTCCAGATGCATGGGGGAGCTCCAAGAGTTGGCTATATCGATTCCACTGATGTTGGATTGTGGAGTTATCAAAGAGAAGAGTATGCAGGATGAGTTGGAAAAAATTAGAGCAGGTCTTCTAAAGGAAGAGAACAGTCGCCCGGGCTACTCTCTAGAGGGGGAGAGATTGTTATACCATGGGAGGTTTGTGATGCCTTAGACCTCAGTTCATATCCCACATCTGTTGAAAGAATTCCACAAGAGCCCAGTTGGGGGTCACTTGGGTGTGCATAAGACATGTAGGAGGCTGGCAAATGAGCTATATTGGAAGGGGATGCACAACGATGTGGAAGAGATTGTGGCTCGATGTGAGGTGTGCCAGTGGAACAAGTACTTGGCCATGGCTCCTAGGGGATTACTTCAACCCCTAGCTCTATCAGACAGAGTGTGTGAGGAGGTCACCATGGGCTTTATTGATGGGTTTTACCTCACTCTAAAGGTTTTTAGTGATTCTGGTGGTAGTTGACAGATTGAGCAAGTACACGCATTTCATCCCCCTACGACATCCTTACATGGCAGTTACAGTAGCGGCCACAATCATCGGGGAGGTGGTTAGACTACATGAGATACCAGAATATATAATATCCGACAGAGACAAAGTATTCCTCCATCATTTTGAAGGGAGCTATTCAGGCTATAAGGAATAGTTCTAAAGATGAGCACCGCTTACCTTTCACAAAAAGACAGGCAAACAGAAGTGGTGAACAAGAACTTGGAGATATACCTATAGTGTTTTGCTTCAAAAACATCTAGGGTATGGGCCAAAAGGCTGGCTTGGGTAGAATACTGGTATAAAACTTCATATCACTCGGCCTCCCAGATGAATCCCTTCAATGTGTTGTACGGAAGAGACCCTCCCCACTTGGTACATTCTGGGCAGAGTCGCACACTAGTATCTGCAGAACAGTAGTACTTGGAGGAAAGGGATAAGATTCTGGAGGAGTTAAAAAGACACCTTCTGAGGGATCAACAAATTATAAAGAAGCAGGTGGATGGATACAAGGACATCCAATTTGTCGTTGGATATAGGATATTTTTAAAGTTGTGACCATACAGACAAAGGACAATAGCCAATAGAAAGAATGAGAAGCTAGCCCCAAAATACCTTGGCCCTTATGATATTTTGGAGAGGATTGGAATTGTGGCTTATCGCTTGAAGTTACCCCGACTGCTTCCATGCAACCCGCGTTCCGCGTATCACAATTGAGGAGAGCTATGGGGGATAGACCGATCCAAATTTAAAGAAGGCGCAACAAGGGAATTCTACCCCCATTTCTGCAACACCTTGATAGTGGGGTACACAAGCTTGATTAGGGGGAATTAATGGGTGATTTAGGAGGAAAAATTCAAATATAATGGATTGTTTTGGGATTTACCTAATTATTGTATGCTTAAGTATGTTTTGATGGCTAGGGTTAGGTTTTCATCTTTGTTTTTACTAAAATTTTCTGGTTCTTAGTTCTTGCTTGGGCTCTAGCAGCATCTAGATTTGGGAGAGCCAGATCATCCTCTCCAATATAAGATCCATTGTATCTTGTTTATCTTCTTATGTATTTTATCAATCTAAAAGCTATTTAGGTGTTTTGTCCACAAGATTATTCTCTCCCCTGTTCTATATTGTTGAAATATCAATTTCAGCCATCAATTTTTGCACTGGTTTTTTATCATAAATATATTAGATTTGGCTTATCAAGGTAGACCTAAAAAAACTTTATTAAAAATATTAGAAATTACCTTTCTTTATTAGATTTAGGTGAGATTTGACCCTTAACAGGGCACAATGCTGAAAAAGGATTCATGTAGCCGACACCACGTAGTGGTATAAAGGCTTGATGTTGTTGTTGCTGTACCAAATTGGTTTTTTTCTCAAAGAGAGAAAGATTGGAAGGATATGACTTCCATCAATTTTTTATCTGATAAGATAAACTCAGTCATCCAATTGCAATCATCAATGAATGTGACAAACATTTAGCTCTAAAAATATTAGAAATTTTTTAAGATTCCCAAATATCAAAGTGATTCGCCATAAAAAGAGTAAAGAATCTGGATTCACTTTCAAGAAAGGGAACTCTATGATGTCTAATAATTTGACAAGTCTCACAATGAAGGCTTTTAACATTAAAATTTATAAGAAAAGAGAGAATGCAACATGCGTTATCAGATTTTAAAAGAGGGAAGAACATGTCTATAATGATGGCCTCATATTGTGTCTTTAATTTGAATAAATATAAGTCATTATTGTTTTCAGGTAGGTGCAACCATCTTTTCTCTAGCTTATCCAATCATCTTGCCCATAATGAGGTCCTAAAACATATTAACGATTAGTAAAAGTGTAAGCTTTCTTGGGCTTAAAGTTTGAGATTAATCAGAAAACTCTTAACAACCTCAGCCCACTTTAGATAGTTTCTACCAGTAAAACGATACAAGGTTTCCGATTTTCACAATTCATGCTGATCTACTCTTTAGTCTTTCGAAGGAAAGTAAAAAAATTCAAACATGATGAGGAAACGAAGAATGAACGAGGAAAAATAAAAATTGGAAGGAGGTAACCTTTCTCTGATATCAATATAAAAAAGTTCTTAAAAAGCTTGGTATATTTATATCTCAACTAGGTATTTGTATACAAAGCTATCTAGAGAATAAATAAAAACTATACAATATTAAGGAGAAATAATAATTACAATAATTTCAAAAATAAAAATTATTATCAATACACCCTTTTGTATGTTATCCGATCACTTCTCCTTGCAACCTTCCTATTTCAATCAGTGGGAGCAATATGCAACTCACCACTTTGCTTGTTTGCATATGAATCCGTTGCACATGCCTTCCTTATTTAGCGCATGAATTTGTAGCTCATTATCTTCCCTATTTACCACTCCCGCTGGTCTTTAGATGGTCCCAACACACTTTTTCACCATAATCCACTAAATCAAATATTTTCTATTCAATCATAAATCTTTTCAAGATCAGATGCACCATTAGAATATCGTTTTGATGTCTCCTTTATTAAATTACATAACATAGCACAAAAAATTGCTTTCACAATATATATTCTTGAAGTGCAACAAATTCAATTCTCTTATACTTGTCTGGTTTTTCTAGCTTATGTTTAATTTCCCTCTCCCAAACCTTCATTGTATGTCACATGAGTTTGAACGTCTCATATTCACCAAGAGCCTAAATATCACTTTTCTTTTCAAAAATTTGTATCAAAGTAATTCTTCTTCAAGCATTTAATACTCTCTTAACTGCTAGGATTTCAATAAAAATATGTCACTAAAATTAGTCCAATATCACATATAATTCTCCAGTTCCTCATTATAAACCTAAACTTGCTTCTTTGTGATCTTCTTTTAAATTAATCAATCACATTTTCATCAATCTAAACATACTTTATAATAGATCATCAAGTTCTTCTAAGGAAATATCTTCTTCAAACTCTAAATCATTTCAAAACAAAATAACAATTTTTAGCTTACTTTGATGGTCTTCATCCAAATCATATTTGAAGATCATATTATCTTCAATCCTAAAAAATCTACCTTGACATCTTTGGGTCTCATTCTCCCAGCCATAATTATTTTAAACATCTCATTCTTTCCTTGTTAGTGCCAAAGTACTTTATAATTTATGAAGTCCGACACAGATGACTATCCTCTTTATAAAACTTATAACCTTCTGCTAATCATCGGATATGAATATTATTTAACATTTAATTAATGTTTAAAATTATTTCTTTTCAATAATTAAAATTTTCACCTTTTTCCAACAATTCTTTGTCTTGATTCATTTCAAGACTTTCCTATGTCAACCTTCTTAAAGTAACCAGACATTTCATTTTTCGTCTCTTAACATTCTTAGAAGCATTGGGTTTGTTGCAGCGATTAGGTACAGACAAATGCCCTAAAATTAGCAAACATTAAATAACACTTCATAACTAAATTTTGATAAGTCAAAAGAGAGTATCTAAAACTTATGTTCTCCAGGTGTCTGATAGGACAGTTTCCATTATTGTAAAGAGCAAAAAATGAATATTAACTAAGACATAAGATTTTAGCAGTTTTTTTGTTATTTAATCCTCTGAAGCCAGGATCATTTTGTAAAGCTAAATGCAATCATATCCATGTGATTCAAAAAATCAATATCAAGATGAGGATGTTACTTGTCTTTCAAATTTAACTAATTGCCGACGGAACTCATCACGCTTTTGAGCCAAAAGCTCCTGCTTTCTGCGAAGTTCCTCCAAAAGTTCCAAACTCTCCAGTTTCTTTTTTGGCGAAGTCAATGATTTAGTTCCGTTCAGTATAACCCCTTTCTGGGGTCCAACAAAAGGAACCGATGCTTCTACAAAATTTGTATTGCTTTCCCTCTGACTTGCCGATGAAAGATTCTCTTTTCCTATTTCAACAGCAGGAGGACGCATTCTTGCAGAATTTACTACCCCCTTAGGATATTGCAGAGGTTTAGCTTCAACACTACCACTATCGTGTCCCTCATCTGAAATTCTATCTCGATTGGCCCAGAATAGTTTGATGAAACGGTTTCCCATCACAGCCTCTGGAGAATTTAGAGCTGCTTCTGCCACTTCTCTTTTGCAGAACTGCACAAAGGCTTTTTCACTGTTTAAGGGTATATATATATCTATGACTTCACCAAACTTTTGAAAATGTGAAAGAAGTGCTTCCCGCTTATTGTTCTTCTGAGGAATCCCACACACATAGAGAGTTCGGCGTGCTTTTTGTTGTTTTCTTCCACCCTTATGCTCAAAATCAGTTCGTAGAGTTGAGACGGGTTGAGTGGTAGCCATTTTTGAACCAAACTCCTCAGAACTAAGAAGTTGGCTTTGATCTAAAGGAAGACTACAAGAAACCGTAGCCTCTTTACCTTCCCTCATCTCTTTTGCAGGATGTCCATCATCAGAATTATTAATCTCAAACTTTAAACCAGTTTCTGACTTACTCCCAGTTCCAATTCGGCCCCAAACTGAGGAACCTGCAGCCTGAGGTCCAATATTAGCTATCAAATTTCTGCTTGGTAGGTCACATTCATTGCCATCAGATAACTGTGAAGTCTTGCGAGAAGTATCACCATCCCATAAAGACTCATCTTCAATGTTAGCGGAAGGCAACCTCAGAAGAGCAGCTGATGAATCAATATTATTATTCCATAAAGGTTGGTCAGGATCATATACATCCGCTTCACCTCCCAAAGTACAGGTAGGACCATTCAACCTTAGTGTATCCTCATTTGCAGCAGATTTGCTATTTTTAGAAAGCATAGTTTTGTTTGCCATAAGAGTTGAAGACGTAGGACCAGCATTTAAGGGCCCCACACCAGCTTGTGCTCCGACTGCATGTGAATTAGGTATGGAAACTGGAAGATTGAATTGAGAAAGGCTCTGCGAATTGCAAAGAACCTCTCAGTCATGACAAGGAGAAAAAAGAGTTGAATATTTTTTATCAAGTTTAAGTGATGATAGGAAAAATAAGTCAATATTCTGTCATCAAATTTTACACCGCTGCAATAAAATCAAGCAAGTAAAAGCAAATGGAATCAGACTTAATGATTTACAAGAAAGTAAAGGCGAGATGGAAGCTCAGAACAAGGAAGGTGCTACCACTAAATGAAGAGAACAAGACAAAAAGTATTCACTATTCAGATAGAGGCATGACGTCCCAAAAATTGAACTTGTTACTACATAGAATGGCAGCATCATAACAAAAGAAGACATCATTTATGGTATGAAGAGGATAAACAAATCATAAGGGCCTAAGTTGGACTATCACAAACAATTAAAAGTTTCAGACTAATCACAAATGACAGCTAATGGAGTAGACATATTCACTATGACATGAAATCAAAAAGGTTTTAGAAATAAAGAAAATAATACCTGAACATCTTCAACAACAATCCGATTTACACCATGCTCCATTGGGCACATGTCACCTCTCAGGCAAAATCCTCGTTCCTCAAAATCTCTACACCGTTGTCTAGGCATGCCAATCTGCAAACCTAGTGGATGAAGCGGATCCATGATACCATTAGAAATCCCATGAATGAATCCAAATGCACCCCAAGATGCATTATGTGAACTTCCAGCACCTTGTAGGCTTGGGCCAACAAAAAGACCAGGATGAACTGGCCTCTGAGAAGCCATGTGTGAAGTAAAATCAAGCGAATCTAGTGAGTTGAATCTTGAATCAGGTTGGCTCCATGCAGCTAAATTTCTTCCTCTCCCACGTCCAAGAGAGGCCAGGCATACAGAAGTAGACAAATCAAGCCGAGGGCTAGGGTCAGTTCGAAAGGAAGTGCTTAATCTTGATCTGGAGTTTAAATCTGATGAAGAACGCATTGAGGGTGGGATGACAAAATGCCTTCTTTCTAATCGGGAAGGGACAACCCTATCCATAGAGGAACTGTATTCCTTTTGAATTTCACGGGATTGACTCCCTGCTTCCATATAGAGCTGCCCAGTATCAAAGTTTTGGCTTCTCTTTTTTCCAAGCCTCCTTATAGGTTGTTCCTGAATAGCATTATCAAACGAATTCTCACGAGCATCCCGCTTGCGATGTTTATGGTTGCGGTCATCATCATCATCACTGTTTTCTTTGTCTTCAGGATCACTAAGTGGTTCGGAAGAAGAAGGTTGGTTGTCTTCCTTCAATAAAAAACTTTTCATATCCTGAGTCTCCACTGTGGCATTAGACATAGATGGTTCAGGACTATTTGTGACATCCAAGTTTACATTTGTGCTCCGGAGAGACCCCCCTTGTAGGGCCTCAAACAACTTTGTAGTAAAAGACATAGAGCCTACCAAAAAGTAAGCAGTGGAAGCATCAATTATTTGAGATATCATACTTATAACTCCTACAACAGAGGGACTATATATAAATGAAAGGACTAATTTCCAATGAATTGAATTTTCATGAATATCAAAAATATCAACTCATATACCACATGTAACTTATAATAAACTTATATATCGCACATCGATACAATATGAGATTATTTGAACAAAAAAAAACTAAATAAGAGAATGAATAATCTTGATAATATAGTAAAATGCTAATTAATTTTAGAATTTTTTTTAAATATTTAACAGCATAGGTTACTAGGAAAAAAAGTTAATCTTACAAACTTATGCAATCCTTACACTTCATAAACCATCCAAACTAGGCAAAGAACATGGTTGAAGGCATAACAAAGCCATTTAAAAAAAATTAAAAAAAAAAACTAAATCTATAGTTTGAATACCGAAACACATGAATAGTCCAAGAAAATGTCACGAGAAATGTAAAGCTCGAAGAACAATTATCATGGTCATCTCAAAAAAAAATTTAATCTTTATCTTGTACTTATTAAGTACCAGTTCAAATTTCATCTCATTTTTGTGCTATTAAAAATATAAATCAACCTGATTTGCACCTAAAAGCAACTTTTGAACAATATGTAAACCGCATGGTTTCCATTTCTATCACGACTAAAGTATATGCTTTGAAAATCAAGACTGATGTAAAGGCTTGTCAGTCTAAATTGGCATGAATCGGTCATATCCAAGTGGTTTTATTCTTGAAGGTGCATACTCAAAATATGTCAATAATTAATTAAATAAGAAATAATAGAAGTTAATTTAAATTTAGCCACAATATCCGAGACAAACACCAATAGCGCGCAACTGTTTTAAATATTGTATGCTTAACACTAAATTCCAAACTAATTGACAAAACTACCACTCGGTTGCTTTGTTTCAACCATGGGATAAGCACAGTTGGGCAAAATGAAACAACATACAAAAAATATACATATGAAAAATATCTATACTAGTGTTAAAAAGAGGCTTCATATTCCACTAATAAATAATATATATTCCAAGGGACTTCATATTCCACTAATAAATAAGATAGGAAAAATGACCAAAATGGACCTATATGAAGGATCAAAATGTTCTCCAACTATATTAAAGAGCCATTTTCATATTTCATAAAGAGTTAAGGGATCATTTTAGTCCTTTTCTCAAATAATATATATTCCATTAAATCTAAAACCTGAATACAAAATTTTTTTTGATAAGCTTAGATGCTATATACTTTAATATTAAACAAATAAGATGCATAACCTGAAGATTCAATCCACAGAAGCAATGCCATTACTACAATAGTGCCATAGTATTATAGAAAACCAATGAGCTACCTCGAATTCTAACTCCATGGAATATGCAAGTTCACTTGTTACATCTTCGTAAAGTCAGCCTAAGATAAACATCAGCTGACAAGCATTGATTTATTTGTATGCCTAAAATTAATTACTAGGCATAAATTAAGTTTATGCAGACATGCCAAAATACCAAGCCAAGTTATAACATACTGTGGCCAAGAAAAACTTCCAGACGATCAGCACACATCTTCTGCAACTCTGCTGCGGGTACATCATTTTTCAACAATGCAACGACATAATCAGCAAGAATGTTAGGGTCTGCAGCAGTCCTACAAGCAATCCGTAAAGCCAATTTGCACCAAAACGTGTTAGAACTGAAAACAAACAGAGAACATCTAAATAAGCAGCCCGAACTATTCTAAGCGGATAGTTATGAACCTTGATCTACTCTAAAAACAGAAATTAAATAGAAAATCCAAAAACTCCTGCATTTGTAACAGTAAATTGTTGTAATAATTGCGAAAGGGACCGTAAAACTGGCTCAGACGCCTACAGCAACCTTAAAATAGTGGCAACAAGAGATTGTTTAGATATTTCAGAAAAAAAAAAAAAGTAAAATGTTTCACTCAAAATTATTAAATAGTAAATGATCTAGAGTTTAGGGAATCGAACGGGAGAACTTACAAGGGTTTGAGGTTGTTCGCGAGGTATTGAGACAGCGCCTTCTTCTCAAATTTCATGACAACAGGCGTTCGTCTCCCTCATCAGTGATCGGATAAGAGAAAATAGGGGGAGGCCAAGGCGAAAACCCTAGGTGACATGGCAGACCTCTTGTTGGAAAATAGAACAGCGGAGAGAATACAAGAGCGAACGCGAGAGAAGTGGCGCAAGACCGGCCGATGGCACTGTTGTAATAAATTGGGTAAGTAATTTATAAGTGATCGCATTTTAATCAATTACAAATGAACTTGGATTTGCATCAACTAGCTTGAATTAAGAAATAATTATTAGGTCCGGACACCTCTCGTAGCTCTACATTCAGACGTCAATAACATGTCACCACGTGCTCTTACTCTTTACCGTGTAGCCCGAAGATCCGACCTAGACCGGAACCCGGTATTACTATGTTGGGGTATTGCTCGGTATTGCTAGGTATTTGTCTTGACAGATTGGTATTTATTGTTATTGCCGACCAATACCGAGCAATACCTAGCAATACCCGAGTCTGTACAAATCAGCCAATACATAGCAATATTGGGTCCGGGTTGTTGGGTCGCACGGTAAAGAGTAAGAGCACATTGCGACATATTATTGACGTCCGGATGTAGAGCTACGTCAGGTGTTCGGACCTAATAATTATTCTGAATTAAGGGCTATTTGATTTAAAGGTTGAGAATTCATATATATTTTAAATATAATATAGGATGAATTTAAAATATTATGTGATAATTGTTAGGACACGATAAGAGACTTAAGGAAAGGGCAACGAAGGGGCCAATTGGTTTACTGATATTAGCAATGATTAGTGGTCACACAAGGTGTGGATATTCATTTCATGAAACTTGAGGTGTCAGTCATTACTCATGAGAGTTGTAGAAGCTATGTAATATTCATCAACAAGGTTGCGAGTTCATCCATGTTGAGATTGTGAGGTTACCAGTGTTGCGTAGTGAGAGTCACGATAGTCACATAGCATGAGTTATGAGGTGCCCAAAGTGTATTCCAAATTCACCAAAGTTGAGGAAATTTGAAATTCAACGAAAATGACCTAATTTATGTAATCAAAACTTCTTAAAATTTGCTTTGAATTTACTTTTCTTCCAACCAAATACCTAAAATTTTAAAACATATGCAATTCATCTACTTTGCACTCTTAATACTTATTGAGGACTAGAAATGTTTGCGGCAAGAAAATCAGAGTTTTGCTTCCTAACGAAGGTTATTAAAATCAGGCCGACAAGTTCAACCAATTGAATCGTGAACAGGTCGGCCAGCCGATTCTTTTTTTTTGTATAAAACCGGATTTTCATTGAATCGTCCAAGAACCACTTGGACTTGAGATCGAACCGGTGCCTGTTTTCCAAAACGTCTAAATTAAACGTAGGGAAATATGATCCATTAGATTATGATCACGTTGTCCAGATTCATTAAAAAAAATGAAATACCTTTGTAATCCTGTAATCCCTCGTTTTGTTCGAATTTTGAATGAAGCTTATGTGACCTGCTCACGTCCTTCCTCTCCGCTCAACTTTCTTACTTTGTTGGCGAGCTCGTACGAGCAGCTACAAGCCTTAGACCGACAAAGCTCTTCCCAGTATTAGTCATGACTTATTCTGCCATTTCTTCTGCTTGTTCTTGTACTGAATAGCCAAATAGGTATGAGTGCACTAATTGCTTCATCTTATCTTTCTCCTCTCATCATATGCTCGACCTCTTCTACCAAAAAGAATAGTCGCATCAGTGTGCCCATATGTGCACTTAGTTATCCATCGCATTTGCCTCCTTCGTGCCTCTGCTCAACCTCAATTGTTATTTTTCATTATTGGGTCTTCCATTTTACATATTTGATAAAGTTCAAATGTTTCTTTTTTTTTTTCAAATCTTATATTTTACAAATAACAAATCTGTTTTTTTTTTTTTTTTTCCAAATCAATATAATGATGTATGGGTTGAGAATGTTTGGTTCAGCTTAATCATTATCTGCGTCACATGTCTTAGAGGTACGTCTTAAAACAACTTGTGTTTAATTTTATTGTAAGCATCGATTTGGTGATTTTAAATTGTGTTTAAGTTTTTTTGTGTAAGCAAATTGTTTTAAATATTCTTAAATCTATCTTTCGTGCTTGTTTAGAGAATATTTTGGAAAAATTGTATTTGTGAATGTTTGTATTTACTAAAATCATATTTTAATTTTCTGAAATCAAATTTCTTAATTGTTAAAATTGATATTCATATTTGCTCAATTTGAGATTTTTATGCACTGAAATTGTATTTTTGTTTTGCTAAAATCAATGACCATGTTTGTTGAAATCAAATTTTAGTTTGCTAAAATATGATTTCTTAATTGCTAAAATTGATATTCAAATTTGTTGAATCTGGGTTTTATATGTGATGAAATTTCATTTGTATTTTGCTAAAATTAATCAAATATATTGAAATTAATTCTAATATTTGCTAAACTCAAGGTCAGATTGCTATATTATTATGTTAATTTTGTTAATTGTTATAATAATAATTATTATTTATTATATCATCCAGTTTAATCCTGGTTCGATTGGTCGAACTAGTGGAACCGTGAACATTTCCTTCTTTTGGTTAATTGTCGGAAACTTTGGAAGGAAAAACAAAATCACAGAGCCCTGCTTAGCTAAAGTGATTACATAATATGAGTATATATTAGTTACAAAGATTTGTGTATCCCTTAACTTGGAGGCGACAAAGTTACAAGAGTATAGAGAATTCGTATAAAATATAATGAAGACATTATTGGTTGAAAGGGGTTAGACGATTGCGGCTAAGCGACAACATTTTGCTAGTGTTAGTTGATTGGAAGCATATTGACCATCATCATATTTTAAAATTTATGTGATCAAGATGACGTCAATTTGATGGATATTTTATGTGCATTTGAGTCTTTTATCGCGCATCCTCATTCTTTTAAGATCTTTTGAACAAGGCCTCGTTTTATAAAATTAATTGCACGAGTGCGTTCGGCTCATCGAGACAAATCAAACGAGCTCAAATCGGATACCGTTTGATGTGTGTCAAGAAGAGAGAATGATGGGTGCCCTTTTGCTTAGTAAACTTAATAATTAAAACGAGTTAAGAAAATCATACCAAAAAATAGAGATAAAATATAAATATAAAAAACTTAGTAAATAAAGTTTATCATTTTAAACATTAAAAAAAAATACGTACGCATATTTATAATAAATAAAAGGAATGAAAATGAAAAATAAGATTCAAATTAAGCTTACATACAAAGTCATTTTACCTTGCCTTTTCACATCCATCTGAATCAAGCAAGTATCTCATCTAATGATTGAAAATCAGTAGAATTTTTTTTACTTTTCAAGGGAAATAAATAAACTCAATCCTAACTCTTGGACTAAGAGTTTTAAATGACAAAGTGAGCAAATTATCAAACTCTCATTTCAGGTTTAAAATAAGGAACACTCCCTCACACCTCCTGTTCGACACACTCACATCTTCATTCGGCCATCAAATGAGAGAAGATCTGCTGCTTCACATTCGGCCAGCAAGAGGAGGAATCTGATGGTGGTTCCTCCACTTCAATCGTCCTGTTCGACACACTCACATCTTACAGCTTTTCAAACCCTTATATTTGATTCCTTCCAGGAGGGCAAATGTGTATTGGATTAAGAAGCTTTAATGATCAAAATATTTAATTAAAATAAAGGACTCTATACTATCAATCTACCGTAGTCTTGGAGGATTAGTAGCATTATAAATATGAGCCTAAGACTTATTGATCAATAACTTCTAGCACTTAGAAGTTATTGAATGCTATGTTCTTTAAAATCTAAAGTGAAATAACTTCAACAATCAAAACATCTTTAAAAATAAATTTACATTTTTTTTTTTTTTCTCCTTAGTTCTTTTACATTCATAATCTCTAACTTGGTACATTCAATTAATTGGCATGTGATGAAGCACTCTCAGCATAATCTAACACTTGAAAAAAAAAAATCCTAATAACTACCCAAGTCATATAGCCTTTCTACACATACTTAGATGGTTTGTTAGGACAACCAACTCTAGCCTAGGCTAGACTAGTGGTTTGAATTGCTTGCTAGGTGCTTTGCTTGGGGAGTAACTTGTGTATGTTTCTTTATTTTCAACAATGTGGATGTCATATATTTTAAATTATATTGGTGCACTTAGGCTCTTTAAGAGCAGTATTAGAAGTGTCAGGTTATTTCATAATTGTTTTGCACTTTACATGCTGCTATACACTTTTATATTGTATTTAAATTCCTGTAAGAGTAATGTACTTAAAAATAATGAATACATGTATGAATCATTGTAAAAGTAAATTGTTTATAGATTGAGTTGTACAGTGTCTTGAGTTGTAAAAAGATTTAAACATACATGGTTATGCATATACAATTAGGGCTCCAAAAGATGATATCATTTTCTTTCGAGGATACTCTTTTTTAGGATTCCATAGAAGACTTGGACCTAGAAGGCCATAAGCAAATATATTTCAATTTATATATATGATAGGCTTAGAAATCCAAGCTTGTTGTGGTGGAGCCTAGTCGTCTTTCTTTTCTACATAGTCTAGGTCTGTTGTAAATTATCAATAAATAAATAAATTGCTCTTTATATTTAATTCTTTTTATTTCTTATATTACAGCATGCATTGCATCATATGAGTGGTAATTGACATGATAGGGTAAAAGTTTTCCTATATTTCTTTTGGTGTATGTATTTCGAACTTTGTAGGAACAAGTACACTAATTCTAAGAAGATACTGTGCTAGATACTTTATACACAACCCCTTTACCTAAATCACACATACATGCATACATTTTAATTTTCTGCGACTGTCCGTTAGAGTCTAGCTAGGACTTTTATACCCAACTTGGGTAAGGTAGCAGGGTCCCCATTGCTCTCGGGGGATGCTGCACTTTTTCTTTAGACTGGTTCATTATGCTGCCAACATTTCTAAGAAATTTTAATAGTTAAAAAATTAGTTAAGTAAATTAAATAAGATAAATTTTAGAGTTCATATTAAAATTAAAATTACTCATCTTTAGTCATAAATTTTAGAGTCTCATTCATCCTTTGAACTTCCTAGGATAGAACTCAGCCTATCATGCATTAAATCTTGTCATCCCAAATATTTCTTTAGATCCATATGTTTTGAAAATTTTTAATCTTCACTTT